TACCACACCAGGGCCCCCGGCCCAGGGGGTCCAATAATAGTTCCTTAGAGGTGATTCGGGATATCCATTCACCACCCCATGGCCCGGGGGCCCTGGTATATGGATTTGTGTACCACTGCTTCGGTCGCAAGCGCCCAGAGTTCTCGTTTGGCCCAACTGGGGGTCCGTGAACCTGGGGCGCCGCAGCCCGCAGCGTGCCGAATTGGCGGTTTGACATGGTTTTTGCCACCCGGTGTTACAGGGCGTTCGAACGGGAAGGTCTTGGAACCGGTTTCACCCGAGGCCCCTGGAGGTGTCAAACATACGTCATTTTTTGTGCATGGCGTGCGCTTCTGGCGCGCGATGAGTGTGTTTTTATGTTTTCACCGCTCCCAAAATCGATGATCTAAAGGAACCATTGATCAAGGATCATCAAGGTTGATCAAGGTCATCACCCCACAAAATGATCAGCCCCAAGAATCCTTCGACGTCCAGTCAAATTTGCGCCAGGGATTGTACCATGGGGGTCCAGATTCTTAGGGTAGTTGTCCGCGTGTGTTTCAACGGATTCGGCCACTTGGTTGTGAGTGAGGCAGGGTGAACAACAAAAAACGGACCAAGGTGAGTCTGATAATTGGACGTTCAAGCGGGGGCTTCTTGGAAGATGACACTGCTCGTGACCGTCGTGAACCCTGCAACATCAGAAAGCATGGTATATGTCATATGTGGGAAGGTCGACCCTTTTGTACAGCAAACGTCTCTCAATTTAGATGCCTCCAACACACACACACACACACCGCGAGATACCACCACAACCGGTTGCGTGGCACGACCTGCCACACCAGAAAGCCGTGTTCCGCCTGGAGCTTCAGGGGCACGCGGCTCTGGAAGTTCTGCACGGGATCCAGGAGTTGTACTTGTCGTGCCTGGTAGCTGAACCTCGGTGCTCGAGCCCCGCTGACCGCCACGATCGACGACTGCTCGACGACTCGTCCGTTTATCGTCCGGTGGAACCGGGCTCCCGCACCGCACGATCCACGCAAGCCACAGGCCGATCCTCGGAACCGGGTGTACTGAGCAAAAAGGCGAGTTGAGACCCCCCAACCAATATGCGTTTTTGTATGTTTTAGTCAGTCTTAGTCAGTCTTAGTGGTCTTGCTCGAAACTGAGGAGGCTTTAGAAGAAGAGCCTGGTCAGCCAGAGGTCTCTCGTCGCCACTGGTGGGGCCGTAGGTTCGTCGGGGGACAGGGAGGTTGTCCTGACAAACATGTGTCCGAAAAAGGTGCTGTTCAGGCTTCGGTGCATGGGGTAGCGAAGAAGCCACAAACTTACTTGAAGACGGCTCCCTCAGTCTCCCTGCCAAAATGCTGGTTAACATGGTTAACCTTTTTCCATCTGTTTGGACTTACTGGGGAAACCAATCTCCCAAACTAGGCTTTGCAGGTGATCTACATTTCCAGGCTTTAGAAGATTGTGGGCTCAAGATGGCCCAAGCGTGACGAAGACGACCTTCGCTTTCCCGTCGGCCCTCCCAGTGACCGACCTCTTGTCGAAGGTACAAAGCAATGCAGCAGTAGTGCTCGACATCCGCCAAGAGCGTCAATTTCTCATAGACCTCACCGTCTCGGAAGCAGTTCGCGAAACGCGTTCATGCGAAGCGAGTTCGCGGTCGAAACTGAGAGGTCATACACGGCGGAACTCCCAGTCCCAGTCGACCCATGGAACCGTTGTTGGTCACCGTGTCCTTCTACCCTTTCCGGTGTCCTTCGTCGGTCCGGGTGTTCTTCGGCGTCCGAGATCATACCTTCGTGTGAGCTCGTCACCGGTCCGAGGTCATACACGAAGAGAGTGGAAGACTCTTGTTACATCGTTTTACGAAGAGAGTGGGACGGGATAGTCTTGGAAGATATTCGATTCGACTCGCTAAGGTTATCACTGTCGTAGGCCAAGGCTTCGAGCTCAAGAAATCCTCACTGGTTTATGTTTAATACATCTAATACATCTCCCTCCTTCCTGCATCTTCCTACCCCAACTTCCGCTGCCTCGCCAGACCGTCTTCCTTCTTGGGCCGCCGACCAACGTCTCAGCCGCCACGTCGCAGGGACGGAACCAGGTGGGGACGTTGGTGATGAAGGAGGCCGCCATACCTGGGATTTAGAGGCCTGGGAGACCATGTTGATTGTCTAAATGGCGAGGTCTAGCTTTTTTGGAGAAATTGCTCATGGCTCGTGACTAAGCAAAGAGATTATTGGCTTCAGGGCACGGTGTTTCTAAATCTATAGATGTTCATACCTAGAACATCCTAGAACTCCTTCCTGGACAATCATTTCTGCCTATCCAATCATGGGTAAAGGCGCCGGGCGTTCTTGTACGACAATCAGTGGCTTCCACTGGACAAAGGAATCGTGGCCTGAACCGGGGGGGGGGGTGAGTGCCATGTCAACAAGTGCCTCTGCTAGCTGGATGCGGGGATTGCATCACGTCCCACGGGGCACGTGGCACGGTTTTTCCCCCCCAGAAAAGAACCTGTCATTCTGGTTTTGCCTCCTGCACGTGTTGGAATGCATGTGAGGCAGTGCCTGGGTGGTTTGGCCGCCTAAAAACTATATGACAACGCGTTCGCCCTGAAGACGTTCGTAAGGCTGAATGTTCTGCCCAAGTGAAGTTGGGCAGAAATGGTTGTCTATAATGAGGGTCTAGGTATAGCTCCAATTCAGGGGGACTTATCTCTAGTGACGCTGCAATCAGGAAAAAATACTATGATGTCAGGCTCCCACATCATGCTTCTTACCAGTCTCGATTTCATCAACCTGCCGAAGACCTGCTGGAGTTGCCTCCCGGCCCCGCTACTCTCAAGTTAATCCTGGTAATCAAGACCAAACATATTCGGGCAAGCTTCCAACCACCTTGAGAGCACAAACGTTCCTGACTCGATTCATATACTTTTCTCCCTTTGTCGTCAAGCTTGATCTTAACACCCAAGCAGGTGTCCAAGTTGTGAACAAGGGAAAAGGGACACGCACAAAAAAAACAGAACATCATAGAACATCCACCTCTATATAGTATTATAGAATCCTATAGAAAGGTAGAGCGGGCCATCTCCTGCATTCCATTGAATGCTAATGAAATTCATTGGAGATCACGGATGGCCCCTGTCGAACGCCCCTGCAGGACCAGGTGGATTCTTCATGGCATCTTCATCGTGCCAGCTTGTCCCGCTCGTCCCGCTCTTCCGGCCCCAGATGCAGCCCATGACGATGACCAAGAAAAGCATCTGACAAGCGGTCGCAAAGCGATCGAACCTCGGCGTCGATGTCGACTCCAGAAAGTGGGAAGTCCGACGCAGTCGATTCGAAGCAGTCGATGATTCGATGATGTGAGAACCCAAAGCATTCATGTGTGGAATTTGATTCGTTACATTTTCCCCATGGATTAGACTAGAGCCATATCTAGCTAACTAATGCTAACTATTCAGTCCCATTGATGGTTGGAAACCAGCGGCAACCTCCGGCCACCCTCTTTTCAGGTCATCGACTCAGCACGGTCCACGGTCCTGGTCCTGGGCTGCCCCGCTTCGTAGAGTATCCCACTCTAGGCCTTAGAGACAGGCTGCGCTTGCACTTGAGACACCTGAACATTCAAAACCGAAGGCATGAGGTTGCACCCTTTCCGTTCTGATCAAAAGACCTCTGGCTACTCTGGTTGCACCGGACCGTGGTGACCGTAACAACACGTGTGTCCGAGACCAATTTGAGCACAGTATCATAGTATCAAGCCCTCGTGGCCGAATCGAACCCAATGTTGCACCTGTTGAAATGGGGGATTCCTGGCCCTTATTCAGTGGTCTGAATACCGAACAACCCTTTGTTTTGCCCAGGATTTGATGCTATTTAAACCATGTCAACCATGTGGCTATAGGGACCTTAGGACCTTATAGAAAGAAAAGGTCAATCGGACCAGATCCGTTGCAGATCCGTCCATCAACCTCCGACGGTCGGACACTATTTTGGGCCCGGATGGCGGCTGTGCTTTGTGTTGTGTTGAGTGGCTTTACAAACCGATCTGAGTCAATCGGTTCCCGTCCAACCAGCAGGTCCAAGTCTGATGTTTTTTTTGCCGAACCAGGACCCATTCGACTTCACAGGTCACCAGCTGCGACTTTGAAGTCAAAAGCCATGTCCCAAGATGGACAACACGACGAGCCGTGCTCCAGTAGCCCATTGCAGAAGTTGGATGCCACTTTGAGGATGCAAGGATACTGGGTACTATACTGGGTATATGGGTGGCCCAGGCCTTTCTCCAAAATTAAAGAGTGCTGTTCTTGTTTACCGACTCTTGCAAGTAATAGGACACACCCAAGGAACAAATGTTGGCTCAAGATGGGCCCACGCATCTCATGGGCAGGAAAGTAATCGGAAAAAATCCGAGCCAAAGTGACCTGAAAACCTGCTGTGAACTCCTCACTTGGCGGACTCAAGACTCAAGACATCTCGTGAACCCCTGACTCCCCCTGGTGTTGGCGTTCGAACCTCCTCCACCCACCAACTTCCCTTCTTTCTTCCTCGCGCAGCATTCACCACATCTCTCTCAGGTGAACTGCAGTGAACTCCTCACCATCGTCATTCTCTTTCACAGGCGACCGGCCAGACCACACCTGCTCAGACGCACCACGTGAGTTCGTGTTCGCACCGACCGACCGAGTCTTCGGTCACGTTACCCCACGAAGGCCACTGATCCGCGCTGCGGATCCTCCCCTCCCGCGAAGATCCGCTCCAGCTGCATGGCAGAGCGGAGTGCTTTGAGCCGCTCCGCGTGGGAGCGGCTCTGGAGGAGGAGCTGGCCCAAGGTCACCTGGGGAGCGGATCAGACCGAGGAACTGCTGTAAGGGAAGGGAAGCATGTTACGGCAAAGTGGTGCACAACTTAGAAAAGAAATGGGAATGGAAAAGTGACGATAAGTGAGGATCTGAAATCTTGGTGTTCTACCGGCCGTGAAATTCGGCATACCTCAGGAGCAAACAGCTGCAGGTTACTAGGTATAGACGGGTATAGAGTCTGTCAAAATGACATGAAGGCTCTTAATTAGAAGCTCTTGGCATCTTAGGTAAGCCCACCTGGGCGCAATAATTAGAAACTGCTCGACCACGCTTGATTGAGGAAAATCCTCTTTGCACAACAAGAAACTGAGCATCTGTTTGGCACAGCAGAGAGTATTTCCCGAGAGATTGAAAGATCCATTCGGACGCCCCTCCACCAAGATCCTGCGGTTCACCAAGGGTCACAGATGTCTCATCGGACCACGGTTCCAGTCGCACCAGGAGACCGGGTTTTGACCTGATGTGGGTCAAGCTCGCTGGTGGGTCACGACCCACCATATAATACACTATAGAGAAGGTCTTTGGTGGCAACTGTGGTGCCGAAGTAGGGTCCTGAAACAGCCTGTCCGGAGTAGGGTCCTGCAGTTTGGTGTCTTTCGCTTTCTGAGCTTCTGCGAGGTCCAATCTCCTCCATGTTCATACAAATTAACCATTCTCAATTCTCGTCATAAAAGTCTCAGATTTGTGCGTATGTCATTTGGTCCACAAGAAGAACTTATAGTGACTTCGTGAACCGATGTGAACCGCTAATTCTTTGGGCTCCACTCATCGATAACAAGCGTGGCGTCCACTCCCAGTCACCTGTTCCCGGCGGAGGTGCCAAAGCTCGGAATCGAAGATCTCCTGAGACGAAGAGGCTCTGAAGAGGCTAGTGAGGTGAGAAAAAGAAGTGAAGTGAGTGAAGTGAAGTGAGTAAAGTGAGGTGACAAGTGAGGTGACAAGTGAGGTGAGAAGTGAGGTGAGGTGAGGTGGGAAAAAAACTGGTTGGTGGTTTCAACTCGCTTGAAACATATTAGTGGGATCAATGATCTCAAGTGAAGGTTGAAATACACATGCATGTCCAAAATCACCACCCAGAAGACGTTGTTTGGGGCTTTCTGGGTTGAAAATGCTTGACACTTGAGCACTGGCTGTCAAACTGACCGTGTATGACCGTGCTTTCCCCCTGGGTTCACGACCTCGAGGAGCAATCCTTCAGTACCTGACAAAGCCCTTGCAGTGTAGGCTGGTATGGTAGGTATGCTAGGTATCCTGTGGTTAGCTCCTGTTAGTTCACCAATGTGCATGAATCAATGCATGCGCAGTAGGATGGAGTGGGTGGTATCTCACACTCACACTCACTGCTGACAGCACACAACCCACGACAAGTGACAAGCAAACAGCACTCTCTCTGTCTCTCTCTAAATCCTGCACACAAAACGCTTCCAATGACATTTGTTGACTGCTGCTGCCAGGCTCTATTGCGCTGACCACTTGATCCGATCAAAACATAGAGCCCGGGTGCAAGGGCACCAATCCGAACCAATCCCACTACTTCAGCCAACTCCCCTGCTCCCATCAGCACCCGGAAAACACGTCTTCGCCAAGTCTCTTGCAACTCCTGAACCTCCTGGTTCACTTCACCCTCCCTGAGGCTTCCCTCATGTATACTCCGCATCTGTGAGACCAGCTGCTGCCGCAGATCGTTCATGCGAGCGGCACCCCAGTAGCCATTGATCCATGAGTTCGACAGTTCCCATAGACCTCTTTGCGAAGCATTCACCTGGACAACCGGAGGGTTTCCACCCTCCACCGGCGCGTTTTGCGTTGGTGTCGATTGGTGTCAGATGCATTCGGGTTATATGTATACAGTATACATGCCCGATATGAGAATGGACCTGCAATTTGAGCTGTAGCGCTTTGTAGAGGACATGGTTTTCGCGGGTGATGGCCTTTTCAGGTTACAATCTTCACAGATGAGTGGATCGTTCGTGGCAGAGCGGAATTTGAGGGTCGCAGCGAACTAACTTTAAGAGCCTTGCTCATCCAAACGAGGCAACTGAGATCACTCTTAGCACCTAGAGGCCCTGCACTTTTGGTCCAGCTGAAGGAGCACCTGAAGTTCTTTGAGCTCAGGATAGGCAGAGATCACATCCTTAAAGGTCTCCAGAGTATCAGCTTCCAGCTCAGATAGGCTGACATCCTGGAGCTCCTCGACCGCAACATCCTCCAAGTGCACGACAGCAGCTCTCAAATAGGTGCTGCTGTCGGACAAAGCCTGTGAGATGCTCAAGGTGTCACGGCTTGAACCACTTGCTTGAGGAGTCTGGTATCTGAGTCTGTGTAAAAGAAACTCCCAAGAGCAGGATTACCAAAAACATCACTCTTCCAATGATGGAATTACATGGGGGTCAGAACTTTGAAGGTCCTGGACTTACTGTTTTCCTCGTCTTTAATTCTTCTGTTCAACTCAGGTGGCATTCACCTCAGGCAGTTTCCAGGCATTTCACTGATTGAACTCGACCCAAGATGAATATGGCCAATTTTGACCAAGCTCAACAAAGTGAACATCGACATCGGCGTTCCTGTTTCGACTCTAAATGCCCAAATGATGGCACCGACGCGGATTTCGCATCAATATATGGGTCCCCAAATCAACCATGGCTTTTCCTCTCCAACGCCACTTGAAACCTGGCCAAAAAAATGGAAAAAACAACACACACACACACACCCAAATGGGTCTGAAGTCCGCCTCGGGGTTCACCAAGCGTTGAATCTCGATCCGTCTCAGCACCGTGTGCTCCGCCAGGTACTTCACAGCGCCCTCCGTCTCGGCCTCCACGTCCTGCAGCGCCTCCAGGCGCAGCAAGACGCCTACGGCGGCGAGGTGTCCAGTCTCCGGGTCAACGGTGGTCACGGCGAAGTGATGCATCTTCGAGGAAAGAAGATCCTGGCGGGAAAGATGATGATGATGATGATGATGATGATGATGATGATGATGATGATGATTACTATGTGTGCCGATATTCTTGCTATTATGTTTTACTATAGTAACACTTAAAGGTTATATAAGTTATATCCCTGCCCTTCCAACGTCGAAGTTTTACTTCAACATGGGGAAATGTCGATGTATTACTTTGAAGCAGAGCTTACGTTGATGTTTTACTTTTCAACATGTGGCAGGAAGAACGGATCTTTTGGGTTCTCATATCAGGCATTGAAGCAAAGCTTCCACATTGAAAGGCAGGTGAATCACAGTGGAAGCCTTCAGAGTGTCTTGGACAAAAATGATGGTTACCTGAGTGGATCCTTTTTGGGGGGGGAAGAACTTCACGCGATTTCATGCGGATCACATAAAACGCGAAGGAGTTCCACCCGGATCTCATAGGAATCTTCTAGAAGGTCCTAAAACTTCACCCCCAGTTCATGAGTATAGACCTCAGGATACCTCAGGGATTCATATGGATGAATATGATTCTATGCTCATGTCTGGAAATTCTTGTGAAACCATTCTCTCCATGGATCCAATCATAATGTTTAAGTTACGTCGATGTTTCACCTGGTAAAACATCTACCTTATCCATGTCGAAGTTAAACTTCTACATTGGAGGCCAGTGATATTATATATATATATATTTAGGGTGAAAGCACACTTCCTTTGCTTCACTGAGGCAGAATACAGCGGTCAAGTGATGTGAAAAGGGATCGAAAACGCTGCAAAAGGAAGGCATGTTCACTCCGGGTGTGGGCTCGCGGGGGCCTGGTATGGATCGTCGAGGATCAAATTGTATCCATGCGTCCATTCGTTCTCCCCGGCAGAAGGTAGTGCTACTGAAAGGTAGTGCTACTGGTAGTAGGAGTCGCACTGGGAGTGGGAATGCTCGCACTGGGAGTGGGAATGCTGCAAGAGGGTGTTCAGGCGGCTCTAGCTGCAGTAGCGGGATGAGCGGAGGAAAAATTAGTGATTGGCACGGAGTTGGATGCATGCACATCTGTTGAATGTTCGGGGGTAAATAATCGTTGCGTGGCCCAGCAAGCAAAACAAACACCAACTTGAGCTATGAAGGAGGACATACTTCAAGGCGCTGCTTATGAGCATTCAGTTGTTGCTTGATGTTCCTGGTACAAAAAATGTGTTCACCAACATGTACCTGAACTGCTGGAACCCATAACTGGCAGATTCTGCATAGTCAGTTAGCCACATTGAAAACTCATAAAGGCATGTTCTACCAATCAGCCCTAGCTCGTGCTTAAGCCCTGGCCAGTACGCACTCAAATGACAAAAGCGACGAGTGTAGCATAGAGCAGCTCTGAATAAAAGGATAACCGATCATATGCTGTTCTTCACAAGCCCAAGGCTTTATGTACTCAAAAACACTACACATTGAATCACATTGAACGTCGACAGGCAGACTGCGACTGCTCCGTGACTCCTATGAATCGAAAAACAACTCCCTGTTTCTCCCTCCTGAGAAGCTTCCGATGTGATGGTGTATGTGTAGCCTCCCCTACAGGTCGCATCGTTAAAAGAAAACAGAAAATCTGTTCGGATCTGTTTGGTACAGTTTCACCCTGGCATTGAAATTCTTCCTCAGTCAGTCCACCCAGTTCATCTCAACAACCACCAAAATAGGTCGCTTACCAAAGGCAAGTGTATCCATCTTGCGGCTCCTTGTAGAGCTGCCGATAGCGCGGTTCAAAGATCTTCAACTTCGGCCGGTTCCCCAACGCGTAGAACCCGCTCAAGGGAAACAGCGGCACCTCCACAGGCTCCTCCTCCACTGCCTCCCCCGCACCGTGCGCGCCGCGCGGAACATCAGTGACCTCCACCTCCTCGAGCCATCGCACGGTGTTCCGCGGCGCCCACCCAAGGCCACTGCCGTGGCCACTCGCCTCCACCGTCACCTCCACCGTCTCGGGCGCTCCAGGTGGAGCGGGTGAAACGGGTGGAGCGGGAGTGGCACCGGGTGTTGGCCACGGCAAGTGTGGAAAGACCACGGACCAAAGGAGTTGCAGAAAGACCAAGGCTGCAGGGAGAAGAATGTCAAAGCGCATCGGAAGTTGGTGGCATAGATTTACCATGCCAGACGCTGCAGGTCATGGATGCTGATCATGTTGCACATGTTTCGACTTACAAATGCATGGAGTAGTTCACCTGGACGATGGGACGACCAACATCATCCTTAAATTGCTCTCTTACATTTTGGCTTGGCTTGATCTCTTGCGAGCGTTGTCGTCCTAATCTTCCACATCAATTTCTCATTGAGAGGCTTCCCTTGCCATAGGCTGGTGATCAAACCCTTCAGGAAAATCCTGGGTTCTGGTTGGTTGATAAAGGCTTTCAATTCAGATTGTTGTCAATTCAGGTCACTGACTGAGGTGTTTAATACTGGGTGGAGCACTTTTTGATCCCAAATCGTCGATCGAGATCTGACCTGTCGGTCCCGTCGTCTATAGGTTACCTCATGATTCACAGTGTTCTTGCATGATCAACTCCGGCAAAAGGAACTGATCTATTTGGGGATGTGTTACCCTATTGAATTAGCCATGACCACTTCATGAAATCAAGCTGAAGCCATGCTCCGGGCTGAACCGCTCTTCAAAGCAACGGGAGAGCGAGAACCGCTGGGAGAGCGGCCCTGGGCTCATGGTGCGCTGTAGGTCAGGAAACTTCATCTGTCATGAAACGTGAACCGACCAGCTGTGCAAACCTCAAACGGGGCTGCTGACTGTTGAGTGAGTTTGTCACTCTCAGTTCATCCAGTTGACTCAGACGTTTGCATCTTGACTTGGATGCTCGATGGAGCTCACAGGGAGGCCACTGAAATCTTGTGAGGGTGTGAAAAGCTTCACTCAGTGAGTGGCCATCCATCGGATCAGCTTTTAAAGTTTTGCTATAGCCATTGGGGCACCGCCTTCTCAAGCAAGATCCAATACATGTGAATGTTGTCTTCCAATGACGGGACGCTTTGTACCGGTGGGTCTTCAATGTCCATCGCAATGAATCGACGTCTATTTCAATGCCTGGGTTCTTGTCCCCTCCTGCCTCCTATTCACAGCCCCATGACACTGAGATGTTGATCAAATGATCTATTCCATTTGGCTCTCCAAACCCAAGCCCTCCCTTATTGGCTCCCAGACAGCTTGGCTTGTGCGGACATCTTGAAGATGACGATCAGGGGGAAGATCCCCAAGAAGACCTCTGACAGACCCCTACACGCCCGTCCTACACGCGCGTGTAGAAGTGCAGGCAGAGATTGAACGGAGCAGTTGCCCAAAATACGCATGTCTCAGACTTGTTCATTGAGATAGTTGACGCAGCAACAAAAGCAACACATATGTTTTTCCTTGTGGCTTTTGACTCCCTCTAGCGTGAACCACCCAGGTGTCCTCCAACTCACACGATGGAAACCAAAGAAAAACAACACACACGCACACACCACACCTCTGCTCGTTCCCAGAAGAGGCTCACATGCACCTGGCAATGTGAAAGAAAAACGGGAGCTGTGGAAACTGCAGAAGGAACATGCATGGGTGCCCAATGGTGCGCATTATAGAACCTGACCCGACCTCTCAGCTTCCCTGGAAAATACAGGAATGCCCACGTCACCCTACAAGCGGTCCCATAGTTTTTGCGATGTCATGTGGTGCTGGAGGTCTTCATTCGGCGGTTGCCAAGGCTTGTTTGAACAGGTGAGTTCCATTACTCACTTCCGCTCTTCTAAAATTTCTAAAGGAGTTTGCTGTGAACTGGTTCGCAAAGTGTTCAGGTTCTCAAATGGTCATAGGTTCGTTGTCCAACAGCTGCTTGAACTAAAGTCTCAATGAATAGAATAGTATAGAATGGAATGGAATATAGAATAGAATAGAATTAGAATAGAATAGATTTAATACAGTAGAATATGATAGAATCCATAGAATAGAATAGAATAGAATATATCAAAGAGAAACAGGTCATTATTCCCAAACGAAGCAGCCGGAATCGGGTGACTGGAATTCGGATAGGCACAAGTTTGACATGGACGTGCCTCATTGCTAGAAATCGCTCTTGAGAGTAGGGAAGCCCCGGAATCTTCCAAATCCAATGCTCAGATAGATGTCATGGAAAGAGGTAGTAAATCAGTTCTCACGCCAAACGTAATTTGCCAATGTGACAAGGTGCCAAAGCATCCCAAAAACCGCAGCCATCTTCCCCACGGCTGGTCGTTAGAGCCCGATTTTAAAGCCCAGGCTATGTCCATCTCCTTCGTGGTTCTGCTCATGTCCAGGCCTTGGGATAAGGGTGGGTTCACAAACGTGGTGGTGACACCCTTTGCGACGAACGGATCCGCCATCCTCTCCGAACGGAGCCGCTGTTGCCACGTGGAGCGCGCGTGTTCACGCGCACCGTGTAGATGGCAAAGGCGATGGACGAGATGAGGCCCAACATCAACATGATGTTCACCACCTGAAGATCACGACCAAAGCGACGAAAGCCAAGCCCCTCGCGTGGAGTAACTGATCTGCCCAAACGCGACCCTGGACCCTGATATGGATGGATCAGACCCTCATATGGAGGGGTCTGGGGTCTCAAACTCCCTGGGTTTTCAGGGACCTGTCGGGCTGTGAACGCAGCGTCTGGGTGGGTGGGGTACTGGGTGCAGTGTGAAATCGGCCTTGGCCGCCGTGAACTGGCGTCATCGAGGTTTCAGGGCTCTTCGAGCAGTCTGTAGCTCCGACAGAATCATGGATGTATATGGATGTACAAAAGGAAGAAAAGAACACTCGACGTGTCCAGTCTGACCCGCTAAGGTCCCTGAAAACCGACCCAAACCACCCGGGACCTGACCAGTAGAGAGAGCTTCTGTGTCTCCTCCGGCCCGGCGGCCCACCACTCTCCCACAAAAAGCATAGTTCTTTCCAAGTTCATCTATGTTCACCAACTCGTAGCTGGTGGACTGCCAGTCCCTCCCGAGAAACGGCCGGGGGGGTGGTTGAAAATGCTTGAAAAGGGGTCAGTGTTGGGAAAGATGCCATTCACTGCCAGTCCCATACATTCACGTGATTGGGCGATTCTTTCAGGGCTCCGGCGTAGTATCTGGATGCCCGGCGGATCAAGAGGCCACACATGACCTGGGCCGAGCCCCGCGCCGCAAGCGTCCTCGTCGGCGTTTCTTCGAGTCGCCGAAACTATCGTAACTCTTCCAGACGTGGCACGGCCATGGGTTTTGTCCTTGCCATGTGGGATGAACATAAAACGAAAAGAGACCAGAATTGGACCCTGAGACTGTGGCGCAGAAAGTTCGGAGCGAAGGTCAAGCCACTTTTTCTACAGAAAGGGGGAAGGGTTTAGGGTTGGTGACTCCAAGCGATTCCTCAGAAACAGTTAAACTTGAATTCATTTTTTTTGAGAATTTGATAATCACTGCGTGGATGTGAAGGCTGCCTACACTGATGCAGAGTCGGCAGAGTGATAGTTGAGTTTTAGCTCTTCAATTGCATGAAAGCCACTCCTCTCCTTAAGCGTCCAGTTGGAAAGCTCTCCGGGAGGTGCGCTGAATTTTTCGTGACATCCCAGCCGCCAGAATCAGATCATCGGGTCAACCGACCAACTCGCCGGCCCAGACCACTCGTCCCATCCGATCTTCCAACGCCAAGCCATTTCTGTCTGCCGAACTGGGTGGATGATTTTTGGGATGAAAAGGCTGAAAGTTCAACCTTAATATAAATACTAGTACTATAGTCATCTATAGTCTATAGTTGATACTATTGGCAGTACTATAGGCAATTGGAAGATCCAGGCTATCAACTCGTCCGATGAGCTCAGCCGAAAAAGATCACAACGTACTTTCCCAACGCCCGTTTCGTGCGCTCGGCGTCACTCGCGCGTAACTCGGCGTGTTTCACGCACCCCGTCCACTCCGAAAGCTTCCAATCAGGAAAGAAGCTATCATCCGCTTTCCCTACAGGTCAGTGTTTGACTGAAGTTTCATCATCTTTGGCACTTTCTTCCCTGGCGGCCGTTCTGGGGCCAGCCGCCCTTCCGGACCCCACCACGGAACCACCCCACTCACCAAGGCGCTGTGTCTTGGATACTGGGCGCATCCTGCTTGGTCAAGGTGCTAAAGGCCGGCTCGGGGCACAAGTACCACTCGTCCAACCTCAGTGAGCCGGGGATATTCATTGGACAGGGTTGTTTGGGTGTTCGTGGTGTTTTGGGTTCCTGTTTCTTTGGACACCTGACAAGCTTTCGACGCTGAGAACTCAAACATCTTCACGGTCGTTTCCTCCCACCGTTCGCAGGACGACAAGGAGACGACCTCGCCGACGGCATCCACGTCGCCTTTGCTCCCCATGGGCCGATGTGGCCTATATTCACGACACCCCAACGACCACAAACGGTCTCCTCTCAAGAAGACTTCGAGTGTGGAGGACGAAGTCCTGACTCACCGGTCCAGTTCTTCTGTCGTTTTCTTTTTGAGCTGGTCACAGCTCTTCACCGGTTCGTCCACAAAAACGGCACCCTGCTCGCCCTTCATCGCCCAGACACGAGAGCCCTTCATCGACCTCCCAACGAGGCACGGGTGGCGTTTTGGGCGTGACAACCGGTCGCGGAAGCTGTCTTCCGGACGCCGGACACCCGGAGCCCAACAAGTATACTCAGAGGTCAAGTATACTCAAGCTCCCTCACTCCGATTTCCTGCTCACTCCACTGAAGGGGAAACGCTGCACTTGTTGGATTCACGCTGGACCGGCAAGAGAACCCGGCTCTCCGGCCAATCCAAAATGCTTTGCGACCGAGCCGGTCTCTCGCTGTGAAAAACCGCAACCCGTCGGTCGTTGACGCGTCAACCACGTTGACGCCAGAAACAGGTTCTCAAAAAACAAAAAAATGGTCACACTCAGCAATGACGAACAAGATTCCCCATGTCCAGTTTGCTTTTGCCTGATAGGTGCTGTTTTTGAGAATCAACTAGTCACAGTCACCAATGGTGACATTCACAGAGTGCCGGGGCGTACACACTTCGCTCCTTTAGCCTAAGCTCGCTACTCGTCAACCTAGCAAGTGCTCATCCCACTCAAATACATTGACAAGAAGCGGAGTTTCATGGAGTTTCTATGTAATAACATGATATAATAGTATTAATATGATATAT